GCCTGGAGCCCTTAGACCTTTTAGGGCTAGGGCTTAGGCTTAAAATAGTGCCTAAACAAGTACCAAGTTTTTTTTTAGGCGGCTCCTTATTATGATTAGAGTATAAGGGGCCCAAAAGCCTATTCTAGTTATATTATAGCGTTTGGGCTTATGCAATGGGTTTATGTAGGTGCCGGTGCTATGTATTTGTCCTAAACCCCACAATCCCTGTGTCCCGGAAGGGTCCAGATAGTATGCACTTGGGCCAAAATCATCCCAAACAGGGGCTCCATTAAGGCCGATGCATATACTATGTGAGCATCTCGACCCTCCCTAAACCCTAAACCCTAAACTTCTAGACCCAAAAATATCCGAAAGGGTACCCGAAGGAACCCTCAGGGGATGCCCCAAAAAGTATCCCAAAGGCACCCGTAGGAAGCCCTTAAACAGGAGCCCTTAAAGGAGCAACCCTAGGGTTGATGATGCAAAACCTGCATTGCCCATCATTATCCAGACCCCCAAAAGGATCTAAAAAATAGATCCCCTAAGGGGGTTCCTATAAAGTACCCTTTAGTAGTTAGGGTCCCTAATTAGGAGATCTATTTTTAAGATCCTTTTGGGGGTCTGGGTATCTGGGTTCTGGAGTACCATACTTGAATACTGTTTTTTGGGGTCCTGTTCCTTACGGGAACCATTATGAAATTAAAGTCTATACTTTTTTCTCTCTGGTTACTTCAAAGTCTAGTCATAGGAGTATAGCCATCATTCCCATAGTTTAGGGTCCTGATAAAGTAACTACCCATACTGAGGAATATACCATGATAAGGAATATACTCGAGTAGAGCCATAATTCCCATAGTGTAGGGTCCTTATAAGATAATGCAGGATTTAGGGTTTAGGGTTAATTCCCATAGTTTAGGGTCGTTTCAAGGTAAGTACCCATATCAAGGAACATACCATACCAAGGAATATACCATGATAAGGAATATACTACAATATGCCATAATTCCCATAGTCTAGGGTCCTTAAGATAGTGCAGGGTTTCTATCATCAACACTATCGTGGGGAGTCCTTCTTATTATAGTTATAGTATCATGGGGCTAGGTATGTCAGGGTTCCCTTTAAGGGTTGCTGTTGAGGGATTTAGATCATCAGCAGTCTACAAATCCACCCTTTGAGGGTCGAGACCCAAAGCTTCCCCAGAGACTCCAATATTCCTTAATAAAGGAATCTTCCTTAAATTACCCTAAACCCTAAACCCTAAACCTTAAACCTTAAACCCTAAAACCTAAACCCTAAACCTTAAACCTAAACCCTAAACGCTAACCCTAAACCCTAAACCCTAAGTAGGATCCTTAATATGATTTAAGGACTATTCCTGAATTAAGGGATATTGGAGTCTCTGGGTCACGACCTCCGGAGGTGGATCCCGAGTTCCAAATCCGGCTGCGCGAGGATGACCCGGCCCTGATGACGACTGTGCGGAACACCCACCCAGAGGTGATGTAGGGTTTTAAGGCTTCGGGTCTGAAGCTTTTCGGGTTCAGGGCCTTACCTTAACCTACCAAAACCTACTTTTTTGTAGGGTCCCTATAAATTCCATATTAGGGTTTATAATAAGAACCTACAAAGAGGTAGGTTTTGGAAGGTTACGGTAGGGTTTTAGTGAGTTTAGGGTTCAGGATTCAGGTTTCAGGGTTCATGGCTAAGTCAATCTATACCGTCATGTTCCCGATATTTACAAAGACTCTACATGCCCAGAAACACGAATCATGAATGCCCCTATGTAAAGGCCTCAATAGTTACCAATACCATTTTGGTGGTTTCCTTATTATAATTATGGTGTATTATACCCCAAAACCCTATTAAATACCAAGGCCCCCTTGCTAAACCCTTATAGTAACCCTTTAAAGGACCCTTTAAGAACCCTTTAAAGGACCCGTAGGTGCTTGCCTAAACCCTAAAACCGCCCGTAGGTGGTTTAGGGCCAAGGGTCGGTGCTGAAATTCTGAGGGATTTAGGAGGGACCCTTAAGAGGGACCCTTGTAGGTTATTGGGGTTAATATGGAGACTACTATATTATAAGGGGTATATAAGGACTATACCATGGTTATTCAAGGTAATGTGACTAAGGGTCCCTAGTAGGGGTCCCTCCTAAAGTCCTTAGAGAAATTCCTGTCGGCTGGAGCTGGGCTTCTGCCTGCCCGCTCAGGGGTCTTCCTCTAGACTTTCTGTTTAGGCTTTCGGGTTCAGGATTTAGGGTTTAGGATTTAGGGTTTAGGGCTTAGGATTTAGGGTTTAGGATTGAGGGTTTAGGATTAAGGCTTTGGGGTTTAGGCTTTAGGGTTTAGGAATTAGAGTTTAGGATTTAGGGTTTAGGGTTTAGGGTTTAGGACTTAGGGTTTAGGATTTACGGTTTAGGGTTTAGGATTTAGGCTTTAGGGTTTATAGGGTTTAGTTTAGCTTTAGCATTCAGGTTGAGTGAGTGTTGTATACCGAAGGCCAAGCTTACGCCTCCAAGGGGCTACGGTGCCAGAATCATCATGCGTGTATCGCAGTACAAACGAGATTCTACCAAATTGCTGCAAAACTTTTTCCCTAAACCCTAAACCTTAAATCCTAAAACCTAAACCCTAAACCCTAAATCCTAAACCCTAAACCCTAAATTGTGATTCACAACGAGGAGCAGTGAGTTCAGCCCTAGCTGAAGTGATGTGTGGTTGACGTGATCACGGAGGTGCAGACAAACTCAAGTCATTCCGTTCATTTGTTCGTCCTTGCTGCTGTAACTTCGTGTTGAAGATTTTTGCGGAATTTGTCTCGTCCACACGACTAGAAATTAGAAATCCCACACTGGACCCTAAAGCCTAAACCCTCGAATTCCCTGCAGTCCCAAAGACCTCAAACCCAGGCCAAAAGCCATCATCTCGTAAAGCTCTCTTGAAACCCCTTAATTAAGGAATATACCTTAAATTACAAGAGGATCCCTAATATGACTTAAGGTATATTCCTTAATTAAGGGGTTTTGGAGTCTCTGGGTTGTGGGCAGCAGTGCAGCCTTCAGCTTAGTTTAACCCCAAAGACCTTCCTTTTTTGAACTCATCTCAGGAAATCATAAAAAAAGGAACCCTGGTAGGGTTTTCTGGGGTGTAGGTAGGGGTGTAGGGTTTAGGGTTTACGGTTTAGGGTCCCTAAACCCTAAACCCCGAGACGCTAAACCCTAAACCCCTGAACCCTAAACCCTAAACCGCTAGACGCTAAGCCCTAAACCCCTAAACCCTAAACCCCAAAGCCCTAAACCCCTGGGGTTTGGGGTACAGTGCTGTAGGGTTTGGGGTTTAGGGGTTTAGGGTTTAGGGTCCCTATCCCCCTAAGCCCTCAGCCCGAAACCCTATAGTACCCTTATAGAACCCTTAAAGGAACCCTTAAAGGAATCCTTATAGAAACCCTTAAAGGAACCCTTAAAGGAACCCTTATAGAAATGGGGGTTTGGGGTTTATTATAAACCTAAACCCTAAACCCTAAACCCTAAACCCTAAACCCTAAGCCCTAAACCCTAAACCCTAAGCCCTAAACCCTAAACCCTAAACCCTGAACCTAGGGTTTGGGGTTTCAGTCTTTTACGTTTCCGGCTGCCAGGTGAGGGCCTCAGAACTGAGCGACTTCGGCGCGAGAGCCAAAGAGCAGCTGGAGGAGGAGGAACCCGAACTGGGGGTTTAGGGTTCAGGGTTTAGGGTTTATAATTAGGGTTTAGGGTTCAGGGTTTAGGGTTTATAGGGTTTAGGGTTTAGGGTTTAGGGTTTATAGGGTTGAGGGTTTAGGGCTTAAGGTTCAGGATTTAGGGTTTAGGGTTTATAGGGTTTAGGGTTTAGGGTTCAGGGTGTAGGGTTCAGGGGGCGAAGGGAACCCTAAACGGGCTTAGGGTAAAGGGTAACGAGGCGAAATGCACCGTGGAAGTAAGGGCCCCTATACTGTGGATTCCTTAAAGGATTTAGGGTTTTTAGGGGTTTAGGGTGTAGGGTTTAAGGTTCAACTCCCATTTAGGTCTACATGGTATGAGGGTATAGGGCCCCCTACTTTTTAAGGTTCAACTCCCATGTAACCCTAAACCCTAAACCCTGAACCCTGAACCCTAAACCGTAATGTAGGTTTTCAGAGTATAAGGGTATAGGGCCCCCTACTTTTTAAGGATCCTCTGGCCTTGGGTCCCTGAGGAGCTGGCCATCCAGCGAGAAGAGGAGGACGCGCTGGAGCATGGGGTACTGGCATCCCTCAAGGCTTAAATCCCTCAACTCCGCAGATCCCGGTCATGAACCCTGTACTTGGAGGGTCGGGGGACTTAGCAACTGGTTACTTTAGGGACTTAGAAGTGCCATAACCCCAATTAGGGTCCCTTTCAGGGTACTTATAAGTCTACTTACTACCTACTTACTAAGTCCCCCGACCCTCCAAGTAAGTGATCGTTAAAGCCCGTAACCTTTTAAAGATCCCATAAAAAATCCGATAAACCCTAAACCTCAAGCCAAGTAGGACTTCAGAGACACTTCAGACCGATTGGCTTCTCTGAAGAAGCTTCATGACAGAAGCTGGGGAAGCCTGCCTGGCCCCTCCACAAAGCCTCAACTCGACCCTTCCTTTAGTCTCCATTGTAGTTCTTTTTTTGGGGTCACCTCATAGGATCCTTAAAGGAAAAATGGTTAAAACAAACAAGGAACTGCAATGGAGACTATAAGCAGATACTATTGGGGCGCACTAAGGGTACAAAGAGGGTCAGCCCTGAACCCCTATTCCCTGAACCCCCAAGACCCTCTAGATCCCTATATGACCTATATGGGTAGTTTTCCAAAATGGTGTCCCTTTGAACTCCTTTCTATAAGGGTGCCGTACTATAAAGACTTAAAAAGGGACCCTAATTTTTGGAAAGCTACCCATATAGTAAAGCGTAGAAAGAGGGTTCCCGCGATGAAGCCTGCTCTGACGAAGAGGAGGGGCGGCGAAGGGAGCAGCTGCTGAAGCAGAGGATGGCTGGGGTGAACAGGCCAAGACTTCGCGGAATGCTGCTTTTTGTAAGTTATTTCCTGTGCTCGGTGCTCCTGTCGATGGTGGAAGATTCTTTTGCACCCCACTTCTGGAAGTTGTTCCAACATGGTGCAGCTGCACTTGGCAGCTTTTTACTGTCGTTCTGTCTCTCCTGGACTGACAGGCTTTGCCCGTCGAGTCGGATCGAGATGTTTTGCACGCTTACTTGCCTAACTTTCGCATGGCTCGTTGGGCTCATCGTTGGCTTTATGATGTTGGGCCACACTTTGCTACTGATTCTCGCAGTTGGCCCCGCGATCGGAATGCTGGCGCGTCACGGCTTTGCCGATGGCATGGGCGAGGCGACAATTGAAGTGCGGGCGACCCGTGCCCGGAGGAGAACCATCGTCTTCGAGGGTGACGTGAGCCACGAGCTCTTACGCAGCACTAGTTCAGAACACCCCGAAAAATATGCCACGAGTTCTTAAAGGAGTACTGCAGCAATTATCTCCCCCAATCTTCCCGGTGCTTTATAGTAGAATGTAGGGTTTCTATATTAGGAACTGTTACTATGATCTGGGAAAGTATCCCCCATAACAGTACCTAGGACGCTTTGGGTTCGAGCATCAGAACGTAGAGCTTTATGGACGAAATGACCCTTAAAAGTAGGGGCCCCTATACCCTTCTACCATGAATCCCTATATGGTTTATGAACCCTAAACCCTTTCAGGGTTCATTTCGTCCCTAAGCCCTAAACCCTAAATCCTAAACCCTAAACCCTAAACCCTAAACCGTATATAGGGAACCTAGAGCCCTCAGGCCCGGCGCAGCCTGCGTGGTCTCCTGGCCTGGGAAATACGCCACAGCCTCTGGGCTTTGGAGTACCATACTTTAATACTTTTTTTTGGGACCTGTTCCTTAAAGGAACCATTATAGAATAAAAGTCTATACTTTTTTCTCCCTGGTTACTTCAAAGCCCAGGCCTGGGATCACCTGGTGGCCAGCGCCCGAGGGCGGACGAGCGCGGCGGTGGTCTTCCTGCCAGAAAACACCAAGAACTTCGGGAAGCACAGCCCCTTAGATCCCCAAAATCCCCAACTTTCAAACTTTTTGGGGCTCTTGTAGTTTAGTAGTAATCTGAAAGTTTAACCTTTGATTTCCCTGGCTTTTTGTGGAAGTAAGGCCCCATTCCCAGGCGCGAAGGGATCGATGGCCAGTGCTGGTGCATGCCTCTCTATGGAGAGGAGAAACCTTGGGGTTGTCGATGGTGGGCCTTGTGGATAGAGACTGGGCTTTGGAGTACCATACTTTAATACCTTTTTTTTGGGGGACCTGTTCCTTAAATCCCTAAACCCTAAACCCTAAACCCTAAACCACAAACCCTAAACCCTAAACCCTAAACCCTTTTTTTTTGGGACCTGTTCCTTAAAGGAGCCATTATGAAATAAAAGTCTATACGTTTTTTCCCCCTGGTTACTTCAAAGCCCAGGAGAACGTGGAAAAAGCCGTGCAGCATCGTGCGGAGCTTCAGGTCTACTTCTTTGAAGGAGCCCGTGACAAGGGGAAAGTGGCAAGCTTTGAGACGGCGGGCCAAGAAAACCTGCGGAGAGAGGCACTGCTTAAGAAGATGCGTGACTTCAAGAGCTGCGACCACTTCCGACGTGCCAAAGAAGCAGGTCTCAAGAACTTGGGGCGCAAGACGCGCTACGATTCGTCTTCTCAATACAGCAGGGAGACTCGGTAGTAGAGTAGGTAACCTTTAACCTTGTGGGGCCACCAGAACCCCCGTATAATTCTTTACTCCCCTATGATACTGGACAACTGCGCCCAAAACAGAAGCCTGCCTAGTTAACACGGTTTAGGGTTTAGGGGTTATTTCTTAGGGTTCCTTATTTTGGATATAGAACTACTCAGGAGAAGTACCGCTTGTTCCTGCAGTGGCTTCCCGCCGTCGACCGGAAATTTCTCGAGGACTCGGACGGCTTGGGAAATTCGCAGAAGGCAGAGGCTGCCGCGTTAGGGTCTAGGGTGTACTTGGAGGGTCGGGAGACTTAGTAAGTAGGTAGTAAGTAGATTTATAAGTACCCTAAAAGGGACCCTAATTGGGGTTATAGTATTTATAAGTCTATTAAAAAAACCATTTACTAAGTCCTCCGACCCTCCAAGTAGGATTTCCGGTTTAGGGTCTAGGGGGCCTTGAGCTACCAGATTTGGACTTGTGAAAGGCAACAAGCTACTCTTTGGGTCCACCGAAACCCTAAACCCTAAACCCCTAAACCCCTAAACCCTAAACCCCTAAACCCCTAAACCCCTAAACCCTAAACCCCCAAGTCCCTAAACCCCTAAACCCCTAAACCCCTAAACCCCTATAAACCCCTAAACCCCTAAACCCCTATAGACCCTAAACCCTAGGTAGCATGGCTTGAGAAGAAGGGCTACGAGTACACTGCTGTGGACATCTCGCGATTTGTGCGGCCAGTGCCTGGCAAGGTCGAGTCGGTGTCAAACCTTCCACGCAAGCTCGGCCGCCAGATGGATAGCGAATGATACTTGGAGGGTCGGGGGACTTAGTAAGTAGGTAAAAGTAGACTTATAAGTACCCTAAGAGGGACCCTAATTGGGGTTATGATATTTATAAGTCTATAGAATAACCATTTACTAAGTCCCCCGACCCTCCAAGTATGCAAGAGCCGAAGTGGCATGGTGTAGTTAGAATAGGGTTTGGGGGGGGGGTATATTATACTATAATTACAATCAGGAACCCACAAAATACGTATGCAAGAGTCGAAGTGGCATGGTATAGTTAGGATAGGGTTTTGGGGGTATATTATGCTATAATTACAATCAGGAGCCCACAAAATAGAGTGGGGTTTTGGAATATATTATACTATAAGTATAGTCAGGAACCCCCCCCAAGATAGTAATATAATTATAACAGGGACGCCCCCAAGATAGTATTGGTAATTAGGACCTCGACGAAGCCTCAGATGTCTCGAAGCATTTCGGCCCTTGTATTCACCGATCCCGGCTTCGCCGATCGGTGGGTTTAGGGTTTTTAGGGCTTTTAGGGCTTTTAGGGTTTTTAGGGTTTTTAGGGTTTTTAGGGTTTTTAGGGTTTTTAGGGTTTAGGGTCTAGGGTTTTTAGGGTTTAGGCAGCTTTTCCTCACGACTTCAGCGGCCGATGGCAAAGCCACGGCGCCTGTTGTCGCGTGCAGTTTGCTTTTCCCGGACCTCGGCCGGTCTCAAGCTTAACGCAGAAGTTAAACGGCTTGCTCCTTCAGGGTTTAGGGTTTATTCCTTAACCTACTAAAACCTACTTTTTTGTACGTTCTTATTATAAACCCAAATATGGAATTTATAGGGACCCTACAAAAAAGTAGGTTTTGGTAGGTTAAGGTAGGGTTTAGGGTTTATGGCAACCGGCCGTGCGGAGTTGCAGTGCCAACCGATAAGCGTCTTGAGCTTGACCCTGCAGTTGAGATGGTAGCCGGGACCTTACTCGTACTGTATACGTACTCTTATACTGTTGATGGACAAAATCCTGCATGACCTTATATACCTAAACTATGGGACTTATGGTACTATACTATATTTGGGTCATGCAGGATTTTGTCCATCAACAAGTACTGCACTTCAGGCCCGCACAACTTCAAGAGTCTATCAGCTCAGCCTGTATTCTTTCCCAAAGGGTCCTAGGATACTGTTAGGCGGGATACTTGCCCAGATCATAATAACAGTTCCCAATATAGAAACCCTACATTCTACTATATAGGTAATTTGGACCCTGTGGGTTTGCAGGAAACTTACTTGGAGGGTCGGGGGACTTAGTAAATGGTTCTTTTATAGACTTATAAGCACTATAACCCCAATTAGGGTCCCTTTTCGGGTACTTATACGTCTACTTAACACCTACTTACTGAGTCTCCCGACCCACCAAGTAGGCACCTAAACCCCAAACCCTAAACCTTCTTCAACAGAATTGGCGCCATGAAGCTCTCGCCTTAACCCGCCTCCGGAAGCAGTCGGGTGTGGGAGATGATGAACATAACACGGGTTTAGGGTTTAGGGCTTGAGGTTTAGGGCTTGGGTTTAGGGTTTAGGGGTTTAGGGTTTCGGGTTTAGGGGTTTAGGGTTTAGGGTTTAGGGTTTAGGGAAGGAATACGGGGATGTTCGCTAGCGTGACAATCTCGCCTGTGTGAGCAATGCTTTGCAGTCTCGTGGCCCTTGACAGTAGGCATCGGCAGTGCTCACCACAAGACAGGAAAGTTTGTCCGGAAGCTACAGCAAGAAGCTCAGGTTTATCTTTGCAAGACCCTAAACCCTAAACCCGAAGAGCCGAAACCTGGTTTCCCAAACCCTAAGCCCCTAATCCCTGAAACCCTAACTCCTACCTTAACCTACCAAAACCTACTTTTTGTAGGGCCCCTATAAATTCCATATTGGGGTTTATAATAAGAACCTACAAAAAAGTGGGGTTGGGTAGTTCAAGGTATACCCTGAACCACGAAGCCCCCTGCAGATGATGCAACTTGTCATCTCGAGCCATGGCAGACATCGAAATCGCATTAGTCCATCTCGAGGAGGCCTTCCGCACCGACTAGGGTTGAGGGTTTAAGGGTTTAGGGTTTAGGGTTTTAGGGTTTAACGGTTTAGGGTTTAGGGTTTAGGGGTTTGGGGGGAGATTTTGGTTTTCGATTGTGTTGGTTTTAATTCGGTAGAGGCTAGGGTGAAGGCTGTCAGGGTCTTTGGATCGTCGTTCTGTCTCAACAACTGACGCCTGCAGTGCTTTCTTAGGTCTCCAGGTGAGAATCTGAGAATGCCAGCGCAACTTCCCAAACAGTGACAGAGCACCGCGACGACCCCGAACCCTAAAACCTAAAACCCTAAGCCCCAAGCAGTGACAGAGCACCGCGACGACCAAGACAACCGCGACCATTCGACCGTCGTCTCCATTGGACCGACGACCGCTCAGAGCCTGCTTTGCCCAAAGGGTCCAGGCAACGGTTCCCCTAAACCCTAAACCCTAAACCCTAAACCCCTAAACCCCTAAACTAGGGTTCAGTTTTTTAGGGTTTAGGGTCAATATGGCGCTACTTTGTAGGTCTTTGGGCCCCAAAAGTAACCCTAAACCCTAAACCCTAAACCCTAAACTCTAAACCTATAGACCACACTATAACTTGGACCCTTTGGGTTCAGACCCGGCAGGAAGACCACCAGGAGACCCCGAAACGACCGAGAGCAGACCCCCAGAAGCTATCGGAAAGCACCAAGAGACCACCAGGAGACCACCAAAATAGGGTTTAGGGTTTAGGGTTTAGGGGTTTAGGGGTTTAAGGGTTTAGGGTTCAGGGTTCAGGGTTTAGGGTATAGGGTATATAGGGTTTAGGGGTTTAGGGTTCAGGGCTTAGGGTTTAGGGTTTAGGGGTTTAGGGTTCAGGGCTTCAGGACACCACTTCCCCCAAGTGCAGGAGGAGGCGGAGGAGCACGGCTATCCCACCGGGCGCCACCCTAACCAATTGGGGGTTTCCGAAAATAGTGGACCCTAATTTACTTGGAGGGTCGGGAGACTTAGTAAGTAGGTAGTAAGTAGACTTATAAGTACCCTAAAAGGGACCCTAATTGGGGTTATAGTACTTATAAGTCTATAAAATAAACATTTACTAAGTCACCCGACCCTCCAAGTAATCTAGTACCCTAAATAGTAGGACCCTTATTATAAGGACCCCCAAAATAAGGTATCCTAATTTTCGGAAGCTCCCAATTCTTTTTTATTGCTCTTGACGTTAGAACCCCATCGGGTTCACCACACCGCTTGGGGCAAAGATGCACCAGAGGCTTTTGGCGAAGTGTTTAAAGACGGCTACTGTAAGGATGGGCGGTTCCTTCAGGGTTTGAAGTTGCTGTGTCATGCTCCACACCTAGGGTTTAAGGTTTAGGGCTTAGGGGTTCCATTCGGATCCGATCAGATATTTTTGCTATGCTTTGACAACAACCAAGTGAAAGGATCTGCGCTGTAGAGGAGCACGTAGACTCTGAGCCAAAACGGCTACTCACCGCTTCTCAAGATGCCTGGCAGCTCATGTTGCAAGAGTACCCCTAAACTCTCCCTAAAGCGTCAAACATAAATTCAACCTTAGATTTTAGATCCTGGGTTCTAAATCCTAAACCCTCAACCTCAACTCCCAACTTAATTCTGAGTATTAGATCCTTCAGACCCCTAAACCCTAAATCCTAAAACCCCATACCCCTAAACCCTAAACCCTAAAGACCCTAAAAACCCCAAACCCCTAAACCCTAAACCCTAAAGACCCTAAAAACCCTATAAACCCTAAACCCTAAACCCTGAAAACCCTAAAAACCCTAAACCCTAAACCCTAAACCCTAAACCCTATAAACCCCTAAACCCCAAAACCCTAAAACGCTAAAACCCCAAAACCCTAAAGCCTAAACTCTAAAAACCCTA